GACATCACAATGCAGAGCCTGGAGGTGACCTGGGACCCGCCCAAGCTGCTCAACGGCGAGATTGTTGGCTATCTGGTCACCTACGAGACCACCGAGGAGAACGAAAGTAAGCCCCATCGATCGCAGCTCTGCATCGCAGCTTTCAATCTAAACAAAAATCCCCCCCTTTGTTATCCCGCACAGAGTTCAGCAAGCAGGTGAAGCAGAAGGTGTCCAACACCACGCTGCGTGTGCAGAATCTGGAGGAGGAGGTCACCTACACCTTCACCGTGCGCGCCCAGACGAACGACTATGGACCGGCGGTGAGCGCGAATGTGACCACAGGCCCCCAGGATGGCTCCCCGGTGGCACCGCGCGATCTCACACTCACAAAGACACTGTCCAGCGTTGAGGTACATTGGGTCAATGGACCCTCCGGCCGGGGCCCCATACTGGGCTACCTCATCGAGGCCAAGAAGCGAGGTGAGTAGAAGGCTGCTGCTCTCTCTATGGGTGGATGGTAGAAACGAATATTTATTTACTACTTATGCGTACATAATGTATCTCTGTATTTTTTATATATTTCTATACCCCCACTCCACACCTCTTCTATTCGATTAATCGTTGGTGGCTTGGTTCTAAATCCAAAATTAACTTAATCTCTAAATACCAAAAAAAATAAACCAAATCAAATGCTTGCGTAGAAAATGGAGAGCCCTCATTTATTTGTAAGTATTTGCTAGCCAATTAGATGCTAGAACCCCCCAATTAACCAACCCATCAAACCCCCCCGTCCTGATCCCACAATTAGATTTATTCTTTCCACTTTGATATTATGATTGCCCTGTTATTATATCCCATCCCACTAATAAGCCCATTGCAAACCCTCCTCCCCAACTAATCGTAGCAAAAAGCAATACCCTTAACATCTTAACGTCTTAACCCCTCCCCCTTCGAATGGCAGCTAATAGACCTCCCTATCTTCGCTTAGACGACTCCCGCTGGACTAAGATTGAGCAGTCCAGAAAGGGTACCATGAAGGAGTTTACCGTCAGCTACCACATCCTGATGCCATCGACGGCGTATTTGTTCCGGGTAATTGCTTACAATAAGTATGGCATATCGTTCCCTGTTTACTCGAAGGACTCGATACTGACGCCCTCGAAGCTGCATCTGGAGTACGGCTATCTGCAGCACAAGCCCTTCTACAGGCAGACCTGGTTCATGGTCTCCCTGGCGGCCACCTCGATCGTCATCATTGTCATGGTCATTGCGGTGCTCTGTGTGAAGAGCAAGAGCTACAAGTACAAGCGTAAGTGTGCAGGCCCTTGGGGAGTCTGGCGAGTCTTGGCGAAGCCGTTTGCAAAGATCTTGGCGAGTAATCGAATGTGGGCCATGTGGATTTACTTGCAGAGGAGGCACAAAAGACGCTGGAGGAGTCCATGGCCATGTCGATTGATGAGCGCCAGGAGCTGGCCCTGGAGCTGTATCGTTCGCGTCACGGCGTCGGCACCGGCACCCTGAACAGCGTTGGAACATTGCGCAGCGGAACTTTGGGAACCCTCGGCCGTAAGTCCACCAACCGACACCAGCCGGTGAGTGTGCATTTGGGTAAGAGTCCACCGCGACCCTCGCCCGCATCGGTGGCGTACCACAGCGATGAGGAGAGTCTCAAGTGCTACGACGAGAATCCCGACGACAGCAGTGTTACGGAAAAGCCATCCGAGGTGAGCAGCTCGGAGGCATCCCAGGTATGTCGGCTCTAATTGTGCGAAGGTTTTCGCACTCGTTGGACCCATAATAACAAGACGACTTTCTCTCTCCCTCTCTCTTTGTCTCTGTCTCTGTCTTTCTCTTTGTCTCTATTTGCGATAGCACTCGGAGAGCGAGAACGAGAGCGTGAGGAGCGATCCGCACTCGTTCGTCAATCACTATGCGAATGTGAATGACTCGCTGCGGCAGTCCTGGAAGAAGACCAAGCCCGTGCGCAACTACTCGAGCTACACAGACTCCGAGCCGGAGGGCAGTGCAGTGATGAGTCTCAATGGTGGCCAGATTATTGTCAATAATATGGCCAGATCGAGGGCACCACTGCCCGGCTTCTCGTCATTTGTCTGACAATCAACCGAATTCTAAGATCTATGCCGTGGTAGCAGCAGCACCGTCATCCGCGAGACATTTGTCTGAATTATTTTGGAAACGATAACGGAAAACGGAAAAACGGAGGCTGAAGCTGAAACCGGAGCTGGAGTTGCAGTGGGGAGCGTTCTAACGAGTTCGACACGGATGTAGCGAGTGGGCTAAACTGCCTGCCTGCCTGCAACTGTTCTGTCTGGCTCTCCCTGGATCTTCGTAGCTGTCCGGCGAGGCGCTGCTACATGGATATTTATCGTAGTTATCTATCTGTATGTTCTTAGTTTTAGTTTTTAGTTACGAGAGATCTGAGATTTACCAGCATTTAGTTTTAACGTGTGTGTTTGTTCGTTCCCCACACAATATCCCTTACCCATGTATCCTCTCCTCAAGCATGACTCTCCACACTCTAATCGACTCTACTCGACTCTACGCTCTGTAAGTTATTTAATTTTTTATTTTTTTTTGTGTAGTATTTATTTTGTTTGTGTGTGTCCGTTGACACGCTGCCACGCCCCACTGGCACTAGCCAAACGCAACTCTTGGCATTTATCGAAGGCGGCAGCAGGTCCTGTGATAAAGCGACTCTCGGCCGATCCAATTTTATAAATGATTTTCACGTGTGTTCAGCGCGTGGCACGGCGCACCTGTGTGACTGTCTGTCGTCTGTCTTGGTTGAATGTTTCAGCGTGAATGATCTGCGCAATCTCATTATGTTTAAACAAAAAACAAATCGACAAACTCGCTCGGGGTTAAAGGAGTGTATTTTTTTTTAATATTTTGGAATAGATAGAGAAGTTGTTTATTTTTTTTTTTTTGAAGATTGCCACCGATGCAATCGGTTGGCTAATTGCAAACGAGAAAAAGTTGACGAAAATGGGAATAACAATGAGAATGAGAAACAGGACGAAAACAAAACAAAACAAAAACAACAACAAATATGCATACGAATCACACAAAAATCATAACTTATAGGAAAAGATATACCTATAAATATATAGATATATATATTTTTTTTTTAAGATGAGAAGATTTTTTGTGCGAATGGATGCGCAGAAAATGCGGCAAGCGGCAGCGGCTGCGGCAGCTCCTCCGCTCCGATAGGTTTATAGGTACTTACATATATGTATGTGTATTCATATAGATATATAGGCCATATTAATGCAATTTTCTTTAAAACGTAAGCGACAGCAACACAAAACTGCAACCCACACAAAAACCGCAAAACACACAAAGAGCAAAAGCGAAAGCGATAGCGAAAACGAGACACGAATTAAGAGCAGAAGCAGATGCAGATGCAGTTTCATTCTGAACGACAGCACGAACACATAGCACTAAGTACAGTATGATATGATATACAATTATTGTATAATAGCGGGTAAGAGATGATTTTTTTTTATGTCCAGCTAAGTTTGAGGCGCAAACGAAGCTTGGGTGAAAACTCTAGGGTAAAACTCTTGAAATGTTCGATTCAGATCGTAAATGTAATTGTATTTGTAATTGTAATTGGCGTTAAGCAAGCAACAAGCGTTCATATCTAATCGTATGTGTGTGAATATCAATATGAATATGATTATGGAATATATTGAATAGCAAGCGACATGGTTACGCGTGCGCGTGCGCGTGGGTATTGTATATCTATCTATATCTATATGTATGTATATTTATATTTTATATTTTACAATTATATTTATATGTGTATGTATATCTACGACTTAAATGACTGATTATATATTTTCCCCTCGATTAATTAATTAATATAATTATATGTATACTTACTTGTATCTCCTTTTTTTTGTACTAGCCTATGCATTAACTAAGTTTAGACTAGACACAACTTTGGCGCATTTTCGCATGAATGTCGGTGGAATGGCAGTGAATGCCGCCGCAGTATCCGCATTTCCGAGTGTATGATCCAAAGGGTTTTTCCATGCTGAAAACTGATTTTTTTAATGTTAATCCCCTTCCCTCCCCCTCCCCCTACTACAAAGACTCGGTGCGCAAGTTCATCTCTAGATAAGTAAATGTAATTGTAATTGTAATTGTTGATTGATGTATTGTATTGTATTGTATTGATTGGACCGATGCTGGATGGCTGCTGGCACGCTAGCGGATGCGCTGCGGCAGCGGTGATGGTGATGGGGGAGCTCCAGACAACGGGCTGGGCTGGACTTCCGGATTAGTTAAAATCGTCGTGCAGCAAGCGCAAAGTATTAGAATATTTATAACGATACCATATAAATGTGTAAATGTACTTGATGAAACTTACCAATACGACTCAATAAACGAAAGTGAAATTAACCAGAAAATGGCTACAATTGAGCACTGGGGGGCTATGGGTCTTGAATGGCATACATGTATGCACATATATGTATGTATGTAATGGTACGTACAAAACAAATTAATATCACTGAAAATAGCTAAGAGTAATTTTTTTTAGAGCTCTTGCCCTGAATTTACACATGACTGTACGAGTATACAGTATATCCAGTCCAGTCTGAATAAATACCTTTACTTGAAAATGTGTCTATCCTGAACGGCATTTACCTAACACCCAATACTACACTGCCGTGGCCGTGGCCACACTAATCGCTGGAATTTTGTTGTTGTATTTTTAATATTTTATTTTCATCTTTAACGAGTATGTTGCCGGGGCATTTGGTACTCATATGCGCCAGCTTTGTAAACTAAAATAATCCTCTATGGTGTTGCCTTGAGCGAAACTCCCTCTTTCTGCCCGTGGAATTGCCGTAATAAATTAAATACTTGGAAAATTTGAACGTTTATATATTTATTTTTTGAGGCTCGCATTTTATTTTTTTAGTTCGAATAAACGTGAGAAAAAAAAATAGTTTGGGGAACTTTAAACATAAGATATATGTATATAGGTAGTATATAGCTAGAACTGGCAAATCAGTCGATGTGTGGTTTTTTTTTAATACTATGGAGTGGGAGAGCGCCATTGGCTAAGCGGGGCTGTTCGATGTCGTCTCCTGGTGGTCGGGCAGTGCTTTGGCAGTGACACCTTCATCCTCCTCCACGTCCTCCTCATCGTCACTGGCCTCTGGGTCTGCGTCCACGTCTGCATCCGCATCCAACTCTGCGTCCGCCTGCATCTCATGGCTGTCGATGTGACGCGCCGCCGGGTTGGAGGAGGACGCACTGCCGATGGCTGCTGGAGCGGCTGGAACGGCGGCGGCAGCGCCAGCGCCAGTGAGGGAGCTGCTCAGGCTGGGCACGCTGACGGGGCACATGCAGGGCACAAACTGGATGCGGGTGCCACCCGCTCCCACTCCCATTCCCACACCCGGCTCCGCCAACCCGCCCTGCGGCTGGTTGTTGAAGTAGTCCGGATACGGGTACTGCGGTCGGGCGTTGTACAGGTTGCTCACCCGCCGGGTGTAGGTCGGATACTCTCCATAGCGCAGCAGGGAGGATGTCGCTCCAGAGCCTCCGCCCGAGGAGGGGTAGGAGCCTCCCACTGTCGCTCCCTCTGAGATGCCATTCGCGGGATGTGGAGGAGGTGGAGGCGGCGTCGTTGTGCTGCTGGTCGTTGTAGTCGGTGCCGGAGTGGTGGTCGTCGTGGTGGTGGTGGTGGTCGTCGTTGGAGCGGGCGTGGTGGTGCTGGTGGTGGTGGTGGAGCTGCTGGCAGCTGGCGGCGTGACGCCAGTCTTGGCGGCGACATCGTGCCGCCGGGCAGCCGCGTAGCTGGTCACGGCGTACGGGTCGTAGTGCGGACTCGGCGACAGGAGCGGCGTCTGAGCTGCTCCGTAGCCGAAGAAGGGCACGCTGAAGGGCCCCCCCCCAGTCAGCGGCTGGTACGTGTATGTGCGGAAGTAGGTCAGCGGTATCTGCTGCAGCATCTGCTGTGCGTTGGGTGCTTCCCTGAAATCAAAAGGGCGTGCAGCAGGGCTGCGATATATCAGGCTGCAGAACGGATGTGTTAGATGTGTGTTAGAGACTCACGTTGTGGCCCTGGGCCACCAGAAGGCATTGCCACCGCCGACCAGGCCAGACCCCAAGCAGGCGAAGATCTGTAAGTGCAAGAAATTTAATTGTAATTGGTTGAGTCTAGACTCCAGAGAATCCCTCCACGTCTGTATTTTGTTTCACTTTCTGCAGGGAATTTCCACTTTTCCAGCTGTTTTTTTTTTTTTTTTTTTTTTGCTTTCACATACCACAAAAAAATATTGTTGCCACATTTTTGGGATATCAATGGCTAGCACTGCACTAGGACGAGTCCCGTATCCTTTGGGAGTTTAATAGAAAAAAAAAAAAAAAACAATTTGTATTTCGTTGGATATTTGTCGGGGTATCTGCTCGAGAGCCACTCGCGTTCGCTGTTGCTTTTGTTCTAAGGCCACAAAGAGTCGCGACCCGAGCTTTTATAGCCAACAGACGGATGGCGAGGGCTCAGCATCGGCCACCGCTGCAGCATCTTTGGCTGCTGCTGCTGCTGCCCCACAGCAATAGCAACAGCAACAGCAATAGCAATGCTGGCTGCAGTGTTAGAACATAAAGGGCCGACACCAAGCGGGTTTCTTGCTGGAGTTGGAGGAACAACACTCGTGGAACAACGAGAAAATTAATTGCAGCCCTGAAGAGTCTCCGTGTTGGGGCAGAGCGAAATACTAAGCTGGGAAATCAATAATAATAATGAGCGTGCGTCCAGCATGGACCACAGCCACATCATTGACAAAATGATTGAATGAATGATGGATCCGATGCCTGGCCTAGAGGTACGGTGCGAGTGGCCAGCAGGGTACGGGGCGAACGGGTGAACGGGGTGAACGGGGGATGGGGGCACGGCTCGAAGGGTCTTCGATGGGGATCGCTTGAAAGGGCCGCACCGCATCCATTCGATTGGCCATAAAAATTTGTTGATGACTTTTCCCCGGTCGCCCCCCCCCCCCCAACCCCAACCAAACATTTCCCCCGCCGCTGCTGTTGTTGTTTTCCGCTTTGCTTTTTAACACATTGAAAATTTCGGTGTTTTTTTTTTTTTTCTTTTTCTGATTCGAAATTCTGGAATTTGGGTCATACCATGGGCAGATGATGCCTCCCTGGCCCTGGCTTTGGCTCTGCCCTGCATTGAGGATTGTTTCGCACAGCCCTGCACAGCCGGACGGGGCTGGGTGCCAGTGTCATCCAATTGAGATGTTTCCATTCATTGGAGCACCTTTCCCAGTGTTCCCCCTCTTGGTTTACGATCGAAGCCGATGCCAGGCCTCTTTGTGTGTCCCCCAGGAATTTATGGCTTTATGGCTGCTCTTTATGGCTCGCATGACTGTTCCACTTTAGGGTCCCATTACCATCTAAACTGTCTCCAGGGGGGAGATCTCGCTCTGGCTCTTTCTCAGCTGCTGCTGCTGCTGCTCTGCGCTTCGGAGAGGCGTTAAGTTAATGATCATCGGGCGATCATTGTCATAATTGTCACGCCTTTCAGGCTGTTCCTTCACACAACGAACCATCTTTGATCCGAACCGAACTCCGCCTCCTCCTTCCAAGTCTTCCCCACATCACTTCCACTTCCACTTGCACCTTGAGTCACAGTCTTTATTTGCTACACTTAAAACACTCTTAGAGGAAGCTGCTGGCACGGGGGCCTCTATCTTCGTGGTCTGATTGCATTCTCTATGTACTTGGATGTGTAGTACTTGGTTTGGTTGTACGCTCCCGTACCCGTTCCCGCTCCTGTGCCCTTTCCCGGCCATCGGTGATGCGGTCCCTTGTAGCTGCAGATCAAAGAGAGGAATCAGAGAGATCAGTGGGCAATGCGCTGGGCGACTCTCAACACTCAGGACTCACCGCGAATTCAGAATGAACCAAGTGCTGGGATGCTGCTCAGAGGAACTCCTCGCCGAACGATCGATCTCCTCCGACTGGGACTCGACCTGTGGCTGTGCCTGTGGCTGGAGCAGCTTGCCCAGCGTGTAGACGGGAAAGGCATAGTACTCCCGCTTCAGGGCATACCGTGAGCTCAGCCGCTGCTGCGGTGGGGAGCTGGTGGTGCTGTCCAGCGCTTCGGCCTCGGGTCGTTCCAGACTCTCGTCGAAATACACGATCTGGAAGGGTCTGACGCTGGTTGCAGTCGACGTTTCCTGCTGTTCGATCTGCTGCAACGGCAGTTCAACCTCTGCCACAGCCTCGGACGGATCAGCCACCTCCTCTGTCAGCCAGTCCTGCTCATGCAGCTCCTCCTCCAGGGGCTGCTCCAGGGACTGCTCCAGGGGCTCCTCCAGCTGCAGCTCTGCGTCGGTGCCCGAGTTGTGGCGGTGGTGATTGTCTCCGGTGGATCGACGGAGCACCGACTGCCACTGGACCACCTCCTGGGGCGAGTGGAAGGCGCTGTACTGCTTGGCCTTCTTGCGCTTCCGCTTCCTTTCGCTGCGCGGCAGCTGCGTCTCGTAGGGCGTCGGCATGGGTGTCGGCAGGGGCGTGGTCGGCGGCAGCTCCGTGGTGGTGCTGCTGGTGGTGATGGCCTCGTGGGCGTAGAACGGGATGAGGGTGAGATTGAGCAGCTGCCGTTGGCCGGGCATTCGGAAGCGCTCGACAATTGGCTTGGGCCGGAACATGGGCGTCGAGGGGGGGTAGAGCACCTGGCCGGGCACCGGCTCCTGCATGGGGTACCGCTGACCGCTCAGCACTGTGTTCAGTATCATCTCGCCCCTGGTGCCATTGTAGACGAAGATCGGCTGCTCCGACCCGGCCAGGGCATTGTCCCCTGGCCCGTTGTCGAAGACGGGCAGCTGCAGCCGTCGCTGGTTGCCGCTCAGCCTGCGGTGGCTTCTGCTTCTGCTCTTGCTCCTGCTCCTGCCCGGGCTCGTTCTGCGCTGCTGCACATAGTGGTGGGGCAGCTGCAGGCGATGGGGTGGCATCATGAACCGTCGCTGTGGCAGCATGCCAGCTGGAGCCCTAGCCGGAGCGGGAGCGGGACGCTCCTCGTGCCGCACCAGAAAGGTAATGGAGCCCGGCTCGCGTGCATTTCGTCGCCATCCTACGGGCGGCGGCCTTCTGGTTGTGGTCGCATAGTCCGACTCCTCGCGCTCCTCCCGCTGCCGCTTCGCCAGCCCATCCTCGAGTATCCACAGGGGGCGCTCCTCCTGCCCCAGGGAGTAGCGACCCAGGGCGGTGCTCCAGTCGAGCAGCTGCAGCAGCTGCAGCAGGGCCAGTGTCCAAGTGGCAATTGCCTCCATTTGAATGGTCGGCCAGTTACTCTAAGCCCATGGCTTTATACGGTGCACATTGGGCTGGGTTTGTGCTGGGTTTGTGCTGGGTTTGTGCTGGGTTCATTTTGAGTTCCGGTTGGAGCGGAGTGGAGCTGAGTGGAGTGTGGCGTAACTTACTTTCGTTTTGGGCGAAAATCGCACAACTCGTTCTGGGCTCGGAGTGGGTCAAACCTCTAGACCAGTTCAGTCCCAGTCCCAGTCCCAGTCGGGTTCCACTCCAATGTGCGTAATGTAGGTCCAAAACTGGGTCCGAACTGGGTGTAGCTCCTGCTCCTGCTGCTCCTGCTGCTGCTGCTGTAGGATTCTTTCCGATTGATCCCCTTGTCAGGGATTAGATGCTTCTTTCTGCCTGTGAGTGCTGCCAGCTCCAGCTCCAACTCCATCTCTATCTCCATTCGAATCATCGCCTGGACAGCTGTCAAAACTGAGATTAATCAAAACACTCTCAAGTGATGGGGTTCTTCCCTTACCCACCGTCCCCCCCACACTCCTCGGCCGAAATGGAAGTGAAATTCTGAGGGATTCTTTGATGATCGGCGATGATCCAAAACAACCTTCAACCCATTCCCCTCTGTGGGCTTCATTTGGCGCTCTGGTTCCTCGGTCTTGCTCGCCCGTTTTGGGGCAACTTGTTTCTCAGGGCCCAAGCCGCAAGTGTGCAACAAGTGGAACGTTCTGCCCGAAAATGGGAAAATGTGAAAATGGGGTTAATAGCCTTTGACAGACGGACCGGACCGGAGCGGGCCCCCGAGCGATCGTGAGTTCTCACTTTGAAAGTGGGAAGGGAAGGGAAGGGACAGGAAGGGAAGATACCTACATACAGGTACATGCAGGGTAGTGGGCTATGGCTATGGCTATGGGTATGGGTACACTGGGAAAATGAAAATGGAAAAATGATTTATTAGCCTGTATCTGCAGCTTTGATCGATCAATCGGCGCTTGCATGGTGTGCATGGTGTGCATGGTGCATGCATGGTGCATGCCACATGCAGCGCTTGTAAAACTCGAACTAATTACAGATGGAGAAAATTCATTTTCGTGGCAGGGATCCCAGTCGGAAAGAGCAGAAATTGCCTAGCTCCCAGCCCCAGCCCCCAGCCCTAAGTCTCAGCCAGCCTCAATCGGTGTCCATTGAGATTTCGATGGTCCATTCATGCCACAAATGGCTGCCGTTGGAGAGGAGAAGAGGCCAGAAGAGGACTTGCCAGCTGTACGGACTCGATTGATGGCGTGACATGACAAGATTATTAGGCCAGGAATTGTGCAGTTCCTGCCCAGCTTAGCTCCCTGGATTAATTCGCTTTTAATGGCTGCTAATGCGTTTTAAATTCCCCCCCCAACCACCAGCCCCCCCTTCAATTCGGCACAGACTTTCTTTTGGTCTCATTCTCAGTCGCAGTCGCAGTCAACGCTTGGCTTGGGCTTGGCTTGGCTTGGCTTGATTTGGGGCTCTGCAGGTTGAAGTAAATATCTGAAATTCCACACATCCCATGCACAGATAGATGTGGCCAGCCATGTATCTGTCTATCAGTCACGCAAACTCGTGCCTATAATTAACAGCCAGAAATATTTGGACAATCATAAAACACACACACAGACAGACACACACTGAGATCTTCGGGACAGACAAATGCAGAGGCAAAGCAAAAGAAAGGCATCTAAATCATAGGAATAGTTGGAAAGGTTTTACCATCTGGCGGCCGAACGGGGTGGGAGCATTTCTGACACCAACAATTTGTTCTATCAATTTGGTATACGAGTAGAATGCATTTTATGTAAATGAAAGTTGTCCTCAATCGACGAGTATCCCCGAGACCCGAGCCCCAAGCCCCAAGCCCCGAGCCCCATGGCACTCTGATTGATGTCCGGCCTGCAGTGGGCCATGAACAATAAACCAATCAAGAGTCTCCAGCTAGATCAGATGCCGATGCAGATGCAGATGCCTCAGACTGCACTCGCTACGCTCTGACAGATGTGGAAAATGTCAAACGATTTGTTTGTTCATTGTTTCAGCCTTTCCTTTCTGCCAGTCTCTCTCTGTCTCTCTCTCTCTCTCTCTCTGTCTGCCTGTCTGTCTATCTATCCGTGTGCTTATCTCTGAGTATTTACATGGGTGAGGAACATCGTTAATGCGATGCACAGATAAGCTATCTAATGGCTGCAATATGGCTGGGCCTGCTCTGCTGCTCTGCTGCTCAGGTGCAAAGAGGGACAGGCAGCTGTGGGAGGAGCTGTGGGCTAGAGGGAAACGTTTCGTTTGGAAATGTTACTTGACGGCACTTCTGGCACTTCGGCTGGCACTTTGCTGCTAAGGAGATCTTTGGCATGTGACATCTGATAATGGCAGGCAGACAATCGAAAAATCAAAAATAAATATCTTCAAGTGGAGTGGAGTGAAACATTTGATGCCAGTCTGGTCTGTTGCTCCCTTTAGCATTATATTTGGAATAAAAATTACCACCACTCCGGTAATGCTTCACTTATCTGACAGATAACAGATATCTCTCTGTGTTTCTACTTTTGTATCTCTCTCGTTCATTCCACGCGTACATCGAATCTTCTTAGCTCTGCAGATAATCTCCATTGTACACCCAACAAGTTAGATGGACAGTCAAAGCTTTGCAGAAGCTCCAGCAGGTTCATCCAAATTTTCCATTGACAGTCCCGCTCCCCACGCCTCCCTACGCCCACCAGCTCTCCACTTTCTCACTGTGTATCGCTCACATAGGGGAGCTTTTATTTCCGCGATCGAACAGAACCAGAATGAGAGGCAGAGGCAGCAGAGGAGCTTTTCGCACGATCCAATCGACAAATTCAATTAGCGTCGGCGACAGCAGCGCCCACCCGGCGAGCACTTCCAGCACACGTCACTGCCACTGCCACTGCCAGTTCTCTGTTCTCTGTTCTCTATTCTCTGTTCTCTATTCTCCGGCGAAAGCTTAGCCCCGACGACCCCGTTTCAGCACACCTCGCCACCCCCCTGGAGCCAGCGAGCAGCCCGTGTTGGATTTACCGAATTTCTCTGCTCGGACGGGGCGGCTCGGCCTCGGCCTCTGCCTCTGCCCGCTACCTCCTCTCTCCGGTTCGTTCGGGTCCGGCAGCTGCTGCTATGGCGCCGTGCCGCGCGCAGTGCGAATTTCGTTCCCGAAGCGTGCGGCGGCCCCTCAGAGCGTTCAACGGTTCATTTACTTAATATTATTTACTTTTTTTCTGTTGTTTTGTTGCTGTGAGTGAGTGAGCGAGTGAGTGAGTGGCTGCTGGCTGAACATCCTATTGTGGATTTGTCACTCTGCTGCTGCCTATCGGATATCGGATATCGGATATCATCGCAGTGAGCGCCGACCCACTGAACCACACACCCCCCCGCACACTGAGAAGCACTTGAAATTCAAAGTTTGAGAAATTCTTTCGTATCTATAAGGAACTGAGCAGAGAGCCGCGGCCAAGAGATGACTACGCAGGGCGTGCACACACACGAGATATCGGCGGCGAAGCGGGCCGCCTTCCAGGTGATTGCCGGCGGATCGGCTGGCTTCCTGGAGGTGTGCATCATGCAGCCACTGGACGTGGTCAAGACGCGCATACAGATCCAGGCAACGCCGGCCGTCACTGCCGTCGGCGCCGTCACTGAGGTAAGTTGCTAGCTGGCCAGCTGGCAGCTGGTATCCTCCAGTGTCAGCTGTTCTCACAGCTGATGGATGGCGCACACATTCCTTCGTTAGGCACAGGGCATACCAAGGTCACGCCCCACCCACCACGCACCACACACAAAATCACTCGCCAGACCAGTCTAGACTCTCCACCAGATAGTGCCGCTCTCCGACTCTCCCTCTCTTGCTCTCTTACTCTCTCTCTCTTGCTCTCTTCTCCGGGTTGACATTCCCTCGATGGGCAATCCATATTTATCAGTCCCAAGACCCGCTACGAATAGAACAGAACGGAACCGACCACAGCCGACAGGCCTACGTCGCGCGTCTTATCAGCCGGGACAGACCCGACCTCCCGCCCATGCCCATGCCCATGCCCGAGTCTGGACCTCCCTCTGGCTGAACCAACAATCGAAATGGAAAACTAAAAACTTACGGGCACGGGCACGGCACGGGCTGTTGTCTGTTCTCAGTGAAAATCAATCGAAACTTTCGATTCCGGCTCCCCATGGAAGTTCAAGGGGCCCAAGATCCAAGACTAAAAGTTATGGGGATGGAAATGTTGTGCGTTGAATTGCACTAAGCAGTGAGGGTTTAGTTCTTATCTAATCGGCATGATTATCAGAATGTTTTGGACATCTTTGGTTGGCTCGTGAAAAAGCCGCAGATAAGCCAGGAAGCAAGGGAACATAAACAGAAACAGGAGATATAAGGGATGAGGGATGAGGAACGATAGCAGAAATGGAACCGCTGAACACTGTGAATCGAGTGCGGAGCAGCCTTGTGCTACTCTTCCTGCCCGGCAAAACAAAGGCACAAATATCTTTATTTTGAGACGGAAATTCTCTTTTTCGCAGTAGAAGAAGATGAAGTGAATTTATGGTGGCCAATTAACGCACAGAAAGAAAGAAAAGAAATGCAAAAGACACACTCAGTGCGAGGAGGGGGAGTGCAGGGGGTGGAAATTAGCACACGCACAGCGGAAATGTGGCACAATGCACTCGGCAATGTTTTCCAGTCTGTGGCAGCCTTGCGTGCCGTGGGCAAAGAGAGTCTGGCAAGAGAGCAGAGAGGATGCCTGAAAAGATCTTTGCAGCAGCAGCAGCAGCAGCAGCAGCAAGCTCACCATTCTCCTCTCCTCTCTCCCTCGATTGCAGGTCCACTACAATGGCGTCTTCGACTGCTTCTCAAAGATGTATCGGCAGGAGGGGATCAGCTCGTACTGGAAGGGCATCATGCCGCCCATCCTGGCGGAGACACCGAAGCGCGCCATCAAGTTTCTGGTGTTCGAGCAGACGAAGCCGCTGTTCCAGTTCGGTTCGCCGACACCCACGCCGCTCACCTACTCGCTGGCGGGCCTGACCGCGGGCACCCTCGAGGCCATCGCCGTCAACCCTTTCGAGGTGGTGAAGGTGGCCCAGCAGGCGGATCGCCAGAAGAAGATGCTCAGCACCTTTGAGGTGGCGCGCGGCATCGTTCAGCGCGACGGGCTCGGGCTGAATGGCCTCAACAAGGGCGTCACCGCGACCATGGGCCGCAACGGCGTCTTCAACATGGTCTACTTTGGGTTCTACCACAGCGTGAAGAACGTGGTGCCCGAGAACGAGGACAGCACCCTCGAGTTCCTGCGCAAGGTGGCCATTGGCTTCACGGCCGGCACGCTGGCCTGCTTCGTGAACATCCCCTTCGACGTGGCCAAGTCGCGCATCCAGGGCCCCCAGCCAGTGCCTGGCCAGATCAAGTATCGCGGCACACTCAGCTCCATGCTGACCGTCTACAAGGAGGAGGGCTTCCGCGCCCTCTACAAGGGCATCGTTCCGAAGATCATGCGCCTGGGACCCGGCGGCGCCATTCTCCTGCTTGTCTTCGAGTACTCCTACGAGTATTTGCAGCACAACTACTCCTAGTCGGCTGTACCAACCACAACAAACAGCATAGTCCTAAGACCTATTTTTTTTGTTTGCTTTCTGCTATACATTTTGCTACATTTATACATACACATATACATGCATACATACTAGGTACTAAATACACACGTGCACGTGCAAGTTGTTTCTGTATTGTTTCTGTCGTGTGAATAAAGACGAGAAATATAAATTGTTTGGCGGGAAATTTACGAATTCAAAGTTCTAGTACATCCACCCGGCAACAGAGGGCGGCCACGCCACTGTCAGATGGTTGCTGTCTTCACTGCACTCTGTGAACTGCAGAGGGAGCTTCAGGGTTCGTGTCTAAATACACTAATGTGACCAGCAGAGGGCGCTGCAGGGTTCGTGTCTAAATACACTGATGTGACCAGCAGCGGGCGCTGCAGGGTTCGTGTCTAAATAAATGCATGTAACATGTAGATGGCGTCACAGCTTCTGCTAGATGGCGTGCTGGAAGCCAAATAACGGCATTTTGAATCCCCTAAAGTGCCGTTTCAACCCTGTACTTCGTGTGTGTGTGTGTGTAGGTATGTGTGTAAGCCTGGAATGCCCCCTGAAACAACGTTCCTTTTTGAACGGAAACCCACGCGAATTCCATTCGATTTTGAACCGGTTATATACCACCCTGGTTTCGACAACAGCCGCACACTTGACACCAAGCACCTGCTGCTGCTGCTGCTTCTCGTGGCTGGTGGTTACATACATGTTACATGTTCACAGGCAGATTCCACCCCCGTGCAAGTTTCGCACTTAATATCGATCCTGGGCACGCGCCATGCGCCCCAGCGACCACGGCAACGGCAACGAGTCGAGTTCGAAGGAGCAGAAGCAGAAGCAGAAGCAGCAGCGGAAGCAGGAGCCACTGGGCGCCCACTGAAGGCAACGAGTTGCTCATGTGGTCGGTGCCACTCGCAGTCGTTTGTGAGCGTTCGCAGCGCAAGGTACTTACAGCTCCAGCTCTCCAAGCCATTAACTGGGACGGGAACTGAGAGACTGGGACTGGAACTGAGAGACTGGGATTGAGACTCAGTTCACGGCTCCCAAGCTTTCAGCTCTCCATAGCCTGGCTCGGAGAGCAATCGAGAGCGAGACAGAGAGAGAGAGAGAGAAAGACACGCACACACATACCCCCAGAGAGAGACAGAGAAGAGAAGAGAGAGAAAGGAGACAGAGAGACAAGAGAAGAATTCGATTACCATCAAACTGTTTTTTGTTGCTGTTATTGTTGTTGTTGTGTCGGAACTAAAGAATTGTTGTATACTTTTTTTTGCTGTTCTTGTGGTTAAAGTGCGAAGTGCAATGCGAAGCGAATAAAAGAGAAGAGAAACAGAGAAGCCGAGTGCCAAAAAATTCTCCCATAAATATAAATAAACCCAAAAACGAAAAACCAAAAGAAAAAGAAAAACTTGGATCGAATTCGATTTGTTGTGCCAATTTGACAGAGTAAAAAACCCCAAAAAGGAAGTTTCCTTTTGGCTGCTGACTCCGAGTGAATTTTCCTGCACTGCGCAGGGCCGTTGGGAGCGTGCGAGAGTGCAAACGAAACAGAGAAGGACAGAGAGCGAGTGAAGGAGTGAGTGAAATAGTGAGTGAGTGAGAGAGAGTGAGGGAGAGTGAGAGAGAGAGAGAGAGCAAGTGAGAGAAATATAGAGAAAGTGCGTGCGCAGAGTCCACCGTGTGTGGACGGGGGGAGTGTTGCAGAGGGGGTGTAAATATTTGCGGTCTTGCGTGGGAGCGTGGGCCCCAAGTAACGGAACAAAGCGAAACGAAACGATACGAAACGAAACGAACGACATGGAACTAACCAGAACGAACTGCTGCAGCTGATATTTTCGAAGAGCTGCAGCAAAGAAACCCAAAAAATCCATTGGGGGATTGAACAACTTAACGTTGCCAAGGGGGGAATACAATAGTCCGAATACTAGACTCCATTCATTGAGTTAGCGGCTGATTATTTTATAGGAAATCTTTAAGTAATTCCACCGCAAGACAACCAACGAGTGCACACACGCACACAGTGGAGAGGCGAGAGTCCTAGCACATACTGTCTCTCTCTCTCTCTTTCGTATTTTACTCTCTTTCTTTCTCTCTCTTTCGCTCTCTTTGCCGCCCCTTGTCGGGCAGCGCTGCATGCGTTTCCCTCTACTACGTTCTACAATCAAATACTACGACGACACACAAACACACACACACACACGTACACGTAGGCAGGCATTCGAATTCCACAGTTGACATTTTCCGTTGCATAGCTTTTGGGGCAGCATCAGCGCAGAAGGGACAGGGAAAGGGAAAGCCAAACGCGAAGGAAAACTCAATCAGAGCAGCACACAGGCAGTGAAAGAACTTAAGCGCCACAAATCGAAACCAAATCAGAGACCGAACCAAATCGTAACGAAAAACGAGAAACAAAAACGAAAAAACGAAACGAAACGAAAAGCACACGAAACAGGGGAATAAGAGAAAAGAAAGCAAAGAACCCAATAAAAGAACCAAAGAAACATAAAAAAAAAAAAAAAAAACGAAAGAAGAATACGAAGCAGAAGAAGAAGTAAAATTCATTGTTCATTCGTTCATTCGCTTGCTAATGAAATTTTTCTGTTGTTTTTAATTTCTTGTTGTTGCCGTCGCCGCTGTTGCCACGTTGCACCGTTTCCTCGTCCTCGTCCTCGTCGTCGTCCTTCGGTCTGCAGTTGCAGCAATACTTAGTGTTAAACAAATAAGCCACCAAAGCAAATACTCGTACAATTAAGCCCGAGCAGCCCGAGACACCCGTCCAGAGACAGAGACAGCCGGATTCCCTTGGAGAAGGAGCTGTTCGTGGAGAGCAGAGACAGAGACAAAGACAAAGACAAAAGACAAGCGGAGAAGCGGAGAACAGTTCAGCCAAAGGCCGAAAAAGAGTGCGAACAATGTGCGCCGCGCTGCGTCAACGCAATTTGTGGCTGCGGAGCCTCTGGGCCATCGCCGTAGCCATCCTGGCCACTGGCACTGTACAGGTGAGTCACCCAGTCAAGCATGCTTGTCCCAGTCCCAGTACCAGTCCCGGTCCCTGTCTCAGTCTCAGTCACAGTCCCAGTGAGCGGACCCACTCCTTGTGCAGGTTGGCCGGGCCAGCGAAAGAGTAAGCCGAAACCGAAACTGAAACAGAAACAAAAATCCCAACCACAGACACACGCACACGCATATACACACACACACATACGCACAGAGAGGCACACACACACGCACACACAGTGAAAGACAAGGAGACAGATACACAAACACTCGAGCAGAGCTGAACAGGACAGAGCTGGGCAGGACAGGGAAGGGGCCTCCTGTGTTGTGGCCGTGGGGCTAAGCAGCCGCAAAGTATGCTTCGAAAAATGTGCCATCGCTTAGCAGCGCACCAGCAGCAGCAGCGCCACCAAATGGGGAGTGTGGCAGCAATGGTGTGTGGGGAACAGGAACAGGAGCTCTTGCCAAAACTAACCAGTCCACTGAAGGCGCGAGTGTGCGCAAATATTGGCTTAATTGAACCGTTTCTCTGTCTTTCTGTCGTCTTTTTCGCCTTTCGTTTTGGCCCTTTTGCCATGGCCTTTTCTGACCGAAATCAGCTTACACAACGCCAACACGGCCCAGACAGCAGACAACAGACAGCACACAGCAGTTGGCAGTTAGCAGTTAGCAGCTGCCCCTCCAACCAATTTGCATATGAACGCAAAGCGTGCCCCTGCCCCTGCCCATACCCCAACTGGCGATAGGCCCTCCAACTAATGATGGCAGTTAAGCAGTTTAATTTGGGGCCACCAAAGGGAACTTTCTTTTCCCCTTTTTGCAAAGTGAACAAGGCACGCAAATTGCTCGCAATTAGAGGCGAATCTTGCTGGAAATTCGATGCAGTCTCTGCACCTTCTCCAATTGATTCCCCATCTCAGATAGCCAGAGTCCCCGCTACCATTCCCAATCCCAATGCCATTCCCAATGCCATTCCCGATCCCATTCAATTGCTTTCAATTATTACCAAACTCAACAGCTCGGCCTGAACCCCACTGAGAGCTCTAAGGGATAATCCACAAATTGTGCGGTTCCCTTCGCTTGGCCAACTCAGATTCCAACTTGAATGGCACTCTCCTATTGCTGCTGCTGCTGCCACTGCTTTTTCCTTTCCTTCTCTTCTGCTGCTGCGTATTCATCAATTTCTGGACAGGCGCACACACACACACACACACATGCGTAACGGAAGGGAAGGGAAGGGAATATTGTTGGCTTAAACTGAAATGCTTTTTCAAATCATTTCAAAACAATTTTAGCTCGGGGTCGAGACCATCTCCCTGCTGGCACTGCCACTGCTGCTCCTGTCTGTGCCCACTGGCTCGACCCACAATCAACGACGTGCCTGGCCTTAACAATTCTCCGTATTTTCCTCTTAAATAACTCAAAGCAATTTGCCTTGGCAACGGACAACGGACAACGTACAACAGACAGCAGACAGCAGCACTGGCAGCACTGGCAGGGCAGCGCAGCTTTGGCCCGAACTGGAGCGTTTTGTGGGAGGGAAACAAAGACCTTATCAAATTCATATACATTCAAGCTTAAGTAATACAAAGAACGGATGGCAGAGCAGAAGGTGCAGCTGGAGATGGAGCTCGGGCGGATCCAAATCCTGGCCAGGGGAGCAGTTAAGCTGCTTTATGTGGGCAGGGGGGAGTCCTCCTACTGCATTCTGCACTCAGCATTCTCCTTTACTCTTTCACTCCTTTCAGGGCTTGTGTTTTGTATGCAGCCTGCCTGCAATTTGTTGTGCCTTCTTTCATTCACTCCTTCTCCCTCTCCATCTCTATCTCCTTCGCTCTCTCCCGCCCTCTCTCTTTCTATCTTGCTTTCTTTCTGTGTGTCTTTCCCTTTTTTGTTGGCTGATACTTTAATGCCGCTATTCAGGCTCGTAGCATGTAGTTTGCTGTTGGCTTGGCTCTGCTTTTGCCTGCAGTTTATGACTGAGTCCAGGTGCTTGGACAAGCCATCGGCTTGGCAGCGGGACTGGCAGGGGTCACCTCGCCTCACAGCTCTCTCCACCACTCCTAGCCCATGCACATTCAGTTCTCTCCATGCCACTGGCCAGCAGTTACCGCTGGCAGTCACCGTTATCAGTGGCACGCATCGCATCGTCGCATCGTCGCATC